CCTCTCTCTCTCTCTCTCTCTTATCTGTCAGTCTTTCTCTGTCTTTCACTTGGCGAAGTCATGGGCATTTTTGTGGCTGCGTTTGCTTGTACGCAATATATTATAGGCATGACATGTATAGTGTTCCTTATGATGATCGTCAAGTTCCCGTTGTTGCAAGTTACGCGAATGCCCGTGGTTGTCTCTCCAATTCAAAGGGACCGAGCAAGCTCCCGCAATTGTGGCATTTAAGAATCCTACAGGATAGCATGCAAATAGCGAGCATGAAATATGCGGATGACGAACATATTTTCAGGCCCCGATTTTTTTTTCTTATTCTATACATGTATGTGTGTATATTCTTTTGTATGAAATCTAAAACATGTAACATATCGACATTCGACATAACCAATGAAACATTTCCACGTTCCGCTGATTTCGGTATGTGCGTGTTAGGCTGTAATTTGGTCCACACACACCTTGCAGGCCCGATCTGGCTCTTTGGCCGTAATTTGGTGAGCCCTGGCTTTGAAGAAAGCGTGGTTACTTCAGTCTCAGTGCTGTCTTCTCATATTCGACTTGTCTCTGGCGTGGCCAACCCGGGCTGTGACCTTATGACCCCAGCATCCATCTCGCCCATTGGCTGCGAGGAGACCACTTCGTCGTAGGAAGGCGGTGGCGCTGAAGGGTTCATGTCGGAGAACTCCTCGACCGGCTCTCCCGGCTCGGTTGTGATCACGCCCTCTTCCTCGCCTCGCCTCCGCCGCTCGTTGTTGTTGCTGTAGTTGTTGGTGTAGTTGTTGGTGTAGTTGGTGGTGGCGGTGGTGTTGTTGGACGTGGTGGTGTCGCTGGAGGTGCAACAGTCTAGGCAGCAGACATCCAGGCAGTCCTCCAGTATCCCCCCGCATGTCATGCACGTGAGCCAGTTGCAGAAGGCGCTGCAGCAGTCTCGACATCCTTTGCAGCAGTCGCCGCAGTCGCAGCAATCTCCACAGTCGCAGTCGCAGTCACCACAGTCGCAGTCACAGTCGCAGTCACCACAGTCGCAGTCACCACAGTCCAAGTTGCTCATCGTGCGAGATGGTGCTTTTTGGTGCTCTGGTAGTAAAGAGAAACCACTTTAGCCACTGAATGCTAGAAGGTGGGTGCTTTTTGGTGCTGTGCTCGTAAGAAATATTGCTCTTGCCGCTGATTGCTAGAAGGTGCTTTTTGGTGCTGTGGTAGTAAAGAGAAATCACGTTAGCCGCTGATTGCCCGAAGGGGCTTTTTGGTGCTGTGCTCGAGAAGAGAAGTCACTTTAGCCGCTGATTGTAAAATGGTGCTTTTTGGTGCTGTGGCCGTAAAGAAAAATCACTTTAGCTGCTGACTGCGAGATGGTGCTTTTGGTGCTGTGCTGGAGAAGAGAAACCACTTAAGCCACTGATTTGACCGAATGCTTGCGCGTGTGTTCCTGGATCCTTCCCGAACGAGCGCTCCTTTATTATTATTTTTTAGGGGGCCTTTAATCACTTAAGGCTTTTCATAAACACTAACGGACGGATTCACAATTTGTCTTTGCCTATCGATGCAAAACGAGAATAAAGAATGCCTCTTAGGCAAATATCGTATCCTCAATGAAAGACGTGCAGAACATTCACATTTCCCGCTGACACACGCACACACGTAGGCTATTTCAAACTGTTATCACGATCTCTTTGCTCTTCCACATTAGTGTTTTCTATACGTTAATAGGACCTCTTTGCTCTGTTTAGCAGTCGCGTTTCGCTGTGTTCAAACGACCTTTTTGACTGGTCTCAATGGTGTGGTAGAACATAGACAGTTGATATTGGTGGATCGCCCGAAGAGTACGCCGTTTTTTAGTCGTGCCGGTAGTGTACAGGATCCTCTGGAGCAGTTGTTTTTTTTGTCTCTCCTTCTTTACCCGCAACGCCTTACGCAAAGTTGTTCAGTTGACGAAGCGTGTCAGAAGACATTCGTATTCCTGTTGTGAAGTTGGAACACTGCGTGTGTTTTTGGACGTACTTCTTTCTGAAATGAAAAGAAAAAAAAAGTAATTAAAAGCACGGCCATAGTATTCGAGGGTGTTGTGTTTTTTAACCCTATCCATACGCCCTGGGGTCATTTTGTACCTCCGGATTGTATTCTTCGCATTTTAGAATATTTCTAGTGCGAAGATCTCTTTGAAACTTTCAGTATTTCTTTAAAAAAACAGCAACATTTTTTTCAGACTGCTATGCAAAGCGTATGGATCGGATTAATGAATAAATTTCCTCTTTGGAAAGTGGTGGCACAGAGTTCCCCACGTCGTAGGGATGCGATAATAATAAAACACAACATACGGATATGTTTAAGGTACTCCTCCATAGTGAAATAAAAAAAAAAAATGAATACATGTGTATAAAACGTGTGACTATAGTATCCGTGGGCGTCGGGCGTAAGTTGCGTCAGTGATGGTCGTGGGAGATGGGGACGACGCCACTGTTTGTTCCTACTTCTTTTACATGTTACTTTCAGTCTTGTTACTTCTGTCTTGCCTGTTCCGTCCACTAAATTGCCGTGTCGTGTCCATGTACCTCACTTTGAAAAACAAACAAAACAACGACAACAACAACAACAGCAACAACAACAACAACAACAACTACTACTACTACTACTACTACTACTACTACTACTACTACTACTACTACTACTGCTACTGCTACTGCTACTACTACTACTACTGCTACTACTACTACTACTACTACTACTACTACTACTACCACTACCACTACCACCACCACCACCACCACCACCGCCACCACCACCACCAGGTATCAGTGGTGTGCTTCTGTCTGTCTCCCCAAGGTGGTGGTGGTGGTATTAGTGCTGTACACTTATTTTAATTAGCTATTGGTCTACACACATATGTCAGTCAACCGTCGAAATGTATTGTTGTAGACGTGGGTGATTGGCGGGTGCTCTGTTGTGGTTTGCTTCTTCTTTCCTATGAAACATCTATCGTCCTTATATCTCCCCTTCTTCTTTTTTATGTTTGTTACTCTCTTGTAACACTTCTTATCTTCTGGCGCTCATATGACCTTATTCAGTTGTGAGCGCCGTAAACCTCTACTAAAACAAAAACTCAACAAAAAAAATATATTGTAGACGTTTCACGCCTCCATCGACACTACTTACGCCAACTGTCTATCTACCATTCTGTTTGGTGACTGCATAAAAAAGAGTGTGGGTGGTTGGCTGATATTCTGGGGTGGTTTGCTCCTTCTTTCCTATAAGAAATCTATCGCCCTTATCTCTCCTCCTTCTTGATTGTGTTTATGCTCTTGAAATACTTCTTATACCTATGTGACCTAATTGTGTTGCAAGCGCCGTGAAACGCTTATTGAAACAAACAAAAGACGTCAGTTGAGTTGTCTGTACGTGACGAGTGCAGCGTACACTGCCAAAGATACGGTAGTCAGTTCCGGTATCTTCTTCTCGATCCAGGGAAAGAAGATCCGGGTTTGCTTGGGATGGGTACAGACCTTAGCGTACAAGAGACGCTAAGGTACAGACGTACAGACTGAATGCTGGTTGTATTCCGAAAAGTAAAGCTCGTCACTTACGCGATGTGAATGACCCGGATGCGTAGTAGGTCAAGACCATTTCAATTAATGGATGGCTCAAGTGTACATTTTCTTTTAATGTAACTAGCGCCGACGAGATCGTAAATCTTTGGCTCTTAAATAAGCTGTAGCACGAAGAAGAGTTTAAATCAAGAAGCATCAAGAGGACTACAATTTTTGTTTTTGTTATGCAGGCCAAGGTATTTAAATTGGTGCCTGTCAGGGCCATCCCGGACTGAGAGGGATGCAGCATCACAGTACAGAAAAGACAGTCGGTAGTAATTTCACCCCATTCGGGAAGTGAATTCAGGCCTTTTGCGTGCGACAGCGAAGCACCTGACCTTACATCACAGACGCTGGTCAGCTGAACTACGTACTCATGTAATTTACTTACGTTAACTTTCTAAGGAATGAGGGCATCATGCTGTTTATAGTAATAGTTTTGATGGGGTTTTAAGTGACAAAAAGACATTTAGTAACGAGCATGATGCAATTTGGTCTTCGTTTTTTTTTATAAATACGTTTCTACACTTATCGGTTTGGTTGAAAAACGCCTATTTCTTTCCTATCGTCAGTACAACTTCGGTCTTAAGATTGACCTAGGCGAGCATTTTTTTTTTTCAAATAAGATTATTTCATAAATGACGTTAGCGATTGTGTTATAGTTATAGTATTGACGTCGTGGTTTTGTTTTCCTGTCTTTCTGACCGACATGCTCTTTTTCAGCACTCACTCACTCACAGTAGTATCAACGTGCTTTAAAAAAAACTGAAGTAAGAAAATTAAAACAAAAACAACGTACCTCTATTCATTGCTGGACCCTCTCCCCATCCCCACCCACCCCGATTTTCTCTCTTTCTTTCTCTCTTTCTTTCTCTCTCACTCTTTCTGCGCTCGCGCTGTGTGTGTGTGTG